AATTCAACAGATAATCTTGACTTTTGAACAGAATTCAGTGGAAGTTTCTCATACCACAGCACTTACTCCAGATAATGAGCTCAGTCATGAGATTTCTGTCTTCAGCAGTCTGGGCATTCTTTCAGTGTGTCTTGTATTTTTCCTGCAGCAGTTATTGGATAGTCAGGAATGTGCAGTCCATTCTTGTTTAATGGATACTTAACACTGAAGGATTTATTCTAAATATTTTAAAATCACTGCTACTGCTGGTTTTTTCATAGGGTTCACTCAAATACTCTTAAGTTCTGCACAGTTCTTTATGCAAGTCTCTTCTAGCAACAAGTAATTGTTGTTAACCTGTATTGTGTCTTTGAATATCATTCAGTTATTCTCCATCTACAGTGGGACATGATGTGCTGTCTTTTGACTGGTGTAACAATATAACACCAGAAGATACCCAGACACTTAAAACAGATAGCTAAAAAAAAAAAAAAAAAAAAAAAAAAAATTAATTTTCATTGCAAGAACAATAAAGTTACAAATTTTTAAATTCAAATGGTGTATTTTTATTAGCTGTTTTAGGAATGCACATAGTCATAAAAATAATATGTATCATTTCATTATAGTAACCAAACAGTATTGTCTTTGCTATATAGATATATATATAGTTCTACAAGAATTTCACAACTAAAGCCTTTTCTACATTGTTAAATTATTGAAGAGCTGAATATATGTGATATCATCTATGAATAAGATTAGCAGAGAGCCTAAAAATTCTGAATGAACCTGGAGGAAGCAGGAAGAAAGGATTCAATCTAATAACAAGAGTTATCTGAAGAAAGTAATTTTCAAGTGAGTTGCAGTTTTTATCTGCTACTGTCTAGAAATGTTGAAAAGCATGAGTTAGAGTGTGGGAGTTGACAATGACTACAGAGCACACCTGAGACACAGAAAAGTCTGTCTCAGCTTATGTTGGTCTGCTACACCCAAATGGCTCCCCTCAGAGGCAGCTGAGTTCAAGCAGGACTAGCTCCCCAATGTACAGTGGAAAACAACCCTGTTTAACTTGTTCTTCTACAGAAAGAAGCAACACAATAATATAAGCAAAGGAAATGACAGTAGCTGCAAACCTATAAAGCTACTGTCATAGATTAAATTCAGTGAAAATGAAGTCCAGGCAATAACACAACAATAGCTTCTCTTCACGTCAAGAACTGCTTATCAGAAAACACCCATGTGCCATCAGTGATTAAGAAGGGTGTTTTTATAACAGAAATGACATCCCTATCCAGTGTGTCACTTCATCTTGAATATATTAATATATCTTACTGAGAGACTTATATTTAATCTCAAGACCTCCACCAATCTGTTGGAGCAACTATTGTCTGTATGAGAGGATAAATGACTGGGTAAAGGGGAAAAAAAGGAATCTTCTAGGGAGATTGAACACTAAACAACTGTGTTCATAGCAGATTTGCTTGGAATAATAGCAACCTATCTTTAACCTATTAATTTGAATTTGAAACCGATCTTATTTAGAAGTACAACTTCTTTGAATTTTTATTTTCTTAACATGTAAAGGAAAGAGGTATTCTGAGAGCAAACTTACTGGACAACTCAGAGAACTGGAGAATTGCACTTGGAGAACTGGAAGATAGGACTCAAATTATTTGTGAAGCACTGGGACAGGACCTTTAAGGGTGCTGCAGGCTTAGAGCCTGCCTGCTGTTTCAGAAGGGGCTTGATATACTTGGCTTTGGGGAATCCCTGACAATTTTACTACTAACTTCACTGTGGAAGAGACATACAGTTATCTTTTTATATAACAAGGGTTTGCTATCCAGATGCTTTGGAGAACACAGGTACCGTTAATTACTGGGAGATTAATTTGATCCTTGTAGTTAACCTTCTGACAGAATGAGATTTTATGTCAGCTGAGAGACTGGGATCGAGCTCTCACTTTTTAATATCGTGCCTTATAGAGTTCATCAGCTTTACTGATTAGCAGTCTGACAGTTCTTAATGTCTTCTGGTATACTGCACTGGCTGCTCCTCAGCCACAGCCACTGACAGAAAGGCTTTAGTTTTTACAGTGCTTAGGAAAGAGGTGTTTAAAGTCTGCTGCTGCTTCTCCAGCACAACATGCAGTTCCAGAAACACTGCTGCAGTGAAACAGATAAACATTGCATTGCGTTGCACTCCCAGAGCTCAGTGTTTCATGACATTCTATAGCTGCTTATCTGATAAAGTACCATCAGCTCTTCAGAGCACTAGCAGTGGCACTCAGACACAAGATGATGTCACGCATGCCTTATCGCCAAACCCACGCATGATTTTGAAACATGCTATATGCTCTGCATATAACAAAACCACAACAAGTCTTTATTTTGTGTGTGAAAAAGAAAAAATCATGGTGCAACTTCCTTATTTCTTTCTTTCCCATTTCTTACCTACATGGGTTGCTTGTACTGACTTCCATTAATTTTGAATTCCCAATTTTGTATTGCTGTCTGTAAGCCCTTCAGCAGACCTGGTGCTACAATGCCCAACACCAAAAAAAGTGGCTGAAAATGTTCTTTTCAATGTGATTCAGCAGAGATGTACCGTGAAAGACCAATGTGTGGGAAGACAGCTTGACCACAAAGTCCTCATGTGCATGGCCTTATTGGAATTTCTTTTAACTGACATTTTAGTAGCCATATAATTTTTTCTGCTGATCTTCGGTCAAGTTGTTATAGTGTTGTGAGTCAAATTCTCAGGTGTGGCAAGTGTTGCATGTTCAACAATGGCACACAGTGCACTGATTAATCAAGCACTTTGGTTTTTTATGTTTTTTATCATCCATCTTGCCAATTAAATGTGTCTGAGGAAGCTGAACCAATGCTTAGTACAGAATTACATGCCTTCTCAGAATAAAAATTCTAATCTTGGCAAACAAGAGGTATATTTCTTGGAAATGTTTTGTGCATAAGTTCAAAGAAATTTAAGTGGCAGTATTTGATTTTGTTTATTTTAATTCTAAGAAAACAAGAGACTCAAGTACCAGACCAACCTTTCAAAATGTTAGTGGAGGTAGATGAAGGAATGCCATCTTATGCTACCTGGCCTTATCTTGCTTTGCCTTCCTTTAAATTTCCTTTCATTTTTTCCCAGTAAGACTGTGCCATTGCGGCTCTCACAGCCAGAGCCTTTTAAAAGCTACCACGTCCCATTGTCTGTGCCAGCAAGTCACTCAGCCTTTAAAAGTCCTTCCCCTTTGCTGACTTCCAAGAAGCATTTAGAGGGTTCTCCCAGTCTAATGTGTATAACAGCCATCACCTATCTGACCCCGATTTAAGTGAAGACAAAGTGAACTGGTAGTCCCCAGGCTCTGTCATTGAATTGGTTCCTAAAGGAAAAATCACTTCTAATGTGAAAAATGCTGCGTAGTAGAAGCTGTAAAGAATCTTAAGGTCACCTACTGTCCTTTAAATCCATGCTATAGTCTAGAACTGCAGCCTGTGACCCTTTAGTCTGCTGAAACATTTCTCTTTAAACCTGTTTTGATTCTTTAAAAGCTGAGTGTGATGTAGTTACAGTATGGCACATACCAGTTTATCTCTGCTCTACCCATCCCGCATTCTCTAGTGCCTTCCAGTCTATTGTACTGATGAATTGATTAATAAATATTAACTACTGTAGCACACATAAATCTTTGAAAGTCTGTTACTAGGTTAACAGGCTTTCTGTGACCTTAACAAAATTCAACAAAATACCAAAAAGAGATTTTTCACCCAGTATTTAAAAACTTGAGGTGATAAAAAAAAAATCACGATAAGGTGCTGAGAAATGTAAATTACTGATGACTACAGTTTTCCAATGTTTTTATAGTGTCAACTGGGCAGTTAATCTGACATTATAGATCTCAGTTGTTTAGTAACCTGCTTTTATTAAGAAAAAAATACAGATTTTTCTTCTTCTAATTAATTATTCTTTGTTCCATTTCTGAAGAACTATATACGTCATTGGTGTAGGAGGATGGTGTGCTTCCCTGGAAGTTCTGTTCTGTCTGTTTCTGCCTTTCCTATTTGTTCTGTGATACTTGAGGGAAATAGTAACAACTTTTTGTTCACAGCTTTCTTGTTAAGTGTTTTCTGATCCTCCACTGACCTCTTTGAGGGTGCTTCTTGAAAGAACCAACTGATATTTGTCTATTCTTATTCCAAGAAATAACTAGGATTTTCAAACAGTGAAAGTACCAACTGAAGTTACATGAGAATGGACAGTTCCATTTTCTGTACCCAGAAAATTAAACTAAGAATGACCTGTCTATAAGTGAAGTACTTTGGTCCTCATTTTGCAAAGCAGAATGTCACCTAAGAGTTGTGCTACTGTAGCTGTTATTCATAATTTATATTTGGAAAAATCATATAGAAGAATAAGACAGGAATTTAGCATCCATTATGCCATTTCATGTCACCCCATTTAATAAAATGAGTATCCAGGTGTTTGCAATGAAAGCATGGGGCAGAGGACAGTGGGTTAATACAACAAAGAGAGGAAGAGAGGTAAAAGGTAACAATTAAATTAATTAGATAATTAAGATAATTTAAGAAAAATGAGAAGCTGATAGGGTCCAGCAGTGGGTAAGTATAGTCAAGGGGCAAAAATACATTTTATTAAGCCTTGAAGAAAACTTAGTATATATTTCTACAAATCTTCTTAGCAGTGTTTATATAAAACACAATGTTATTTAAAGTATTCTATAATTTGGTTAATCAGAATTCTTCCAAGGGAATGAAATAATCATAGTTGCTTCATAAATATATGTAGCATGAAAGTCATGATGTTTTGCTTATTTTTGCTTTGCTTAATCCTGTTTTAGCCTTTCAGGATGCTGCAATTTCTGTTACAGAGTGTCTGTACTGTTTTTTTACCAAAAGACTGACTTCCCATGTTGGTGGAATTTCCTAAGACCAGAGAATTTCCATTTTGTTATTTTGTCCCTTTATCACCAGCTGGTTTGTACCTCTAAATTGCAGGTGAATCTGTCTGGAAAGTCTTCTTCTTCACTCCAAACTTCAGTCCTGAGGACTCCAATGGTTGCTATGATTCACACGTCTGCTTCTGCCATGGAGGATTCATTACACGACATGATCCTCCACTGCTCTTCGATCTGTCCAGAGACCCTGAAGAGAAAGTCCCACTGACTCCAGAAACTGAGAGCCGTTTCTACGAAATCCTCAGGGTCATACACCAAGCAGTGGACAACCACACCAGATCCCTGCATGCTGTTCCTAACCAGCTGTCGTGGGACAACCTTCTCTGGAAGCCATGGCTCCAGCTCTGCTGCTCATCTCTCTTTCAGTCTTGCTACTGTGACTATGAGTCAGGAGGGAGTCCACTGCAGGTGCATTTGGGATAAATAAGCTGCAATTCCCTTTCAGAGACTGGACCAGCTGAGTGTGAGTGTCTGACTTGACTTGTGGTACAAGCCTTCAGAAGGTTTCGTTGTGTTGGTGGAGGACCAGTCTTCAAATACATATTGCAGTAAAAGAGAATTTCAGTCAAGAAAACATGCCAAGAGAGGGAAGGCAAGACACACCTTCTCTGTCCTTATCACACAGCATGAAGGACATGTTGCTGTCCTCATCTACACGTGGGTAGAACTGTGGGCATTTTCTATGGGAGATAATTTTCTAGACCTTCAGCTTGAGCTTTTGTCTTATGCAGCAAAGAATTTACCTATCAGGTCTGTCAATCACAACTACTAAATGCCCACTTTCCTGTCCTTTTTACTAAGTGTTATCCATTAGTAAGACATAGCACTGAGTAATTGAAAACAGAGAGATAATAGTGGAGAGGTCCTCCTGTGACAGTCATTTGGTAACTGATAGATAGGTTAAGAACACACTTGCAACAGATCTCTGTCAACAACCATGGCAAATATGAAAAAACTGACAGCTTGCCAAGTCTAACTTTGAACGTGCCATAAAAATGCACAGAGCTATTGTAGTAGAAGACACTGTGTCCGTATTAAAATGATGCTCCCCAGCAGCTGTCCTATTGCATTGCAGCAACCTGTGTTTCAAAAGGACACCACTTCAAGTGTACCAGCTGTGTGCTTGAGTGTGTACCATAAGTCTCCATATATATATACGTATATATATTTATGTGTGTGTTTGTATATATATATATATATATATATATATATGTGTGTGTGTGTGTGTGTGTGTGTGTGTGTGTGTGTGTGCGAGCTGATTTATTCACACCATATATCTCTATATATATATATGTGTATATATATATGTGTGTGTGTGTATATATATATATATATATATATATATATATATATGTGTGTGTGTGTGTCCGTGTGTGTGTGTGTGTGTGTGTGTGTGCAAGCTGAATTATTAACCCATAAATCCTTCAAACCCTCATATAGGAACACCCTTATGGTCATATTCCAATTGATAAAAGAAAATATTTGGTCCATACTTGGTATTTGAGTTCCAAATTCACATGATATTACAAATTTGTCTTTCACTTGTTTATCATACCTATTCTTCCATTGGTGACAGTAATCACAAATAAATAAAATTTGGTCTTCCTTTAAATATCTTTTCCATCTTTTAAGGTCTCTGAATAGGGTTTATAATTTTCTGAAAATAAGCTTGGGCTTGAGTACTTCAAGCCAAATATAACTGTCTCTGAGTTCTCAGCAAGGTCTTGGGAAATCTACTGTCCTCGAGGGCTAATTTTTGTATCCATTTTTATCTCTGTCTTATTCAGGCACATTTTCTTTCCACTCTACAGGCAGACAAACTATTTTCTTTGGCATATTGCAGATGAAAAGAAGAGATCAGCAAAGTACTAAAATGATTTGATGCCTGATAATAGAAGGTGACTTGCTCCTTATCAGAAAGCAGCAGTTAATTCCCACATTACAATGTATTAAAACCTGTTTGGGGCAAAAGTGATCTGTGATGATAGTAATGCAGTAGCTTCAGTCAGCCAGCATTAAGGTTGTGACCCAGTTCTTGTGAGCTATTGAAGCCTTTCCTTTAAAAATATATTGTGATAAATGGTATATTTCTCTGACTGTAAAACCTAGGCATTTTTTTATTTTTCCATTGCAGTTTCATTCAAAATTTCATTCTCCACAATACCCAGAAGCCTCTCCTGGGAAATGTACTTTTTCCTTGAAGTCCTATTTTTGATGTTTCACCTTGTGTTCATGATCTTAATTATGTCCTCAGCAAACTCTCTGTAGGAGGCAAAGCCCCGTGACAAATATTTATCACTGAATGTACTACATAACCTTAGGAAGAAAAATGCCTCTCATTTGAATACATATATTCTTCCATGAGAGCAGCTGCCTTTCAATGTCATGGCAGGATCTGTACATCCCAAATTTTTGTCCTCACCAGGTGGTCCTGGAACCCCTTGGGGCATGCACTGGTGCCAGCATGTCCCTCTTTGCAGCCAAAGGGCAGCACTCAGGCCCAGCTGTGGCCAGAGTGCTGAAACACCGCGGTGTGGAGGGATGCTCTTTCCAGCTCCCACAGCTCTGCCACAGCTTACACAAAATCTTTTCAAACAAGTACTCCCAAAGAAAATGGGAAAAAAAACAAAAAAACAACATGTGGTGTGTTCAGTATACAGTGCTAACTCAGACAAGGGGTTTGGTGCCATCAAATCTCCTTTGTTTCCACAGTTTCTGGACTGTGACCTTTACAGAGGACTAAATTTATATTCTCAAGGACACCACATTGACTTTTTTTTTATCAGGAAGAGGCTGTGTTGCTATTATTTCTTTTTCTTTCTTTTTGCAGGTGCAAGAATTCTTTGTTCTGCTAGGCACAACAGTTATTCTGTGCTGCTTGATCAAGTATCAAAAATGATGACTTTTCTACTGCTTTGATTTCTTCTTGCCTGAATATGATGTTTCTTTCATACCCCCCTTGGCTTTTGATGCCATCTTTCTAATCTCTTTAAAAATCCACACCTCTGAAATATTTTTCCATCTATTTCTTTGCTACTCAGTCCTTCTGTTTGCTTGTCATATTGATTGTAATGGCTATTTTGCTTTAATCAATCAGAAAATGAAAAGTAGTTATAAAATTTGTTATAAAATTTGATTTGTAGGGCTCCTTGATTCTGCTGATCTCCTGCTTATTTAAGGTCCAATAAGAATTAACTTTTCATTATGAAATATAAGCAATTAAAACATACCTGAGATGTTGTTTAATATAAATAATATAAAATATTTCTTGTTTGTGGCACAAACTTCGTATTTTACAAAATATAATTTAGTACAATGTTTAATACTTTGACATAAGCAGTAAAATCTGAAATCCATTCTTATAATAGTTCCTTCAAGAAAGATTCTGTGAAGAACAGGGCAGTATTTTTCATACTCTATATTAATACCTTTTCATTTAATACCTAAAATAAACCTTCCTTGTATTGCAAATGTATTATACCTTTCAGTGCAGTACCTTCTGTTCTGGAGATGGCATGTCACATCGGGGTAATTAAAGTAGTCTTGATTATCTGCAAAATAAAATGTGGAGGACAATATAACATTTGTCTAATGGCACTGCCTGATCTAACAAGGAATAGTTTTGTTTTTAACAACAGGTTATTGATGGGATATCTGTGATTCACAACTTACTAACAAGGAAGGCTCAAGGAGAATGTGCTGCTCTGATACTTGGAAGCTGACTTCCAATCTGTCATTTAATGAGCACTGCTCTTGTAACATGGTGCCTGTTTATAGGATACGTCAGTTTAAATGGGGTGTTCAGCTTCAGAGGGTAGTGTATTCCTCTGCAGTATTGTTTAACAGTATCATATCCTTATTTGTGACAGAGTCCCTGTACAGCCCAGAGCAAGTCATTTAACTCATTTCTCAGCTCCTCTGCTGCACTCAGAAAAGAAAAGGAAAACAGTATTTCTCTAACTGCTGGGAATACTGAAAGAACAGAAAATGCTGAATGTGGTAAGCTGGTAAAGGTGAACTTTCTAGTACTTTCTCTATAGAAGACACAATTTAAAAGCTGGAAAAATGGAATGTAGAAGATCCCCCTATATGAGGTGGTAGGTGATATACCATTAACTTGAGGCTCGCAGGTTCTATGTGTAATTTAGTGCATGTGGGATTGTGATCTGGAGGAGAGAGAATAGATGGCTAAGAAAGATACATGCTTAGGATTCAGAGAATATTGTAAGTCACATTTTTATAATTATATTTATTCTTTTTTTTTTTAGCAGTCAGGAAACTACATGGAATAATAAATAATGTTTTTCCCTCAGGGACTGGATATCACAGGTTCTCAGCTCTTAAAAATAGAGATGTCCTGACTTGCCTCCAATTATGGTCAGAAAAATCAAAATTTAAAGAAAAAAAAAAAAAACAAAAGGGAAATTGGATCTTTGGAGAAAGGTGTCAACTCACTTAAATCCAACTGAAAGGTTTCAGAGAACTAAGAGAATCTGTTCTGTATACTTCACAGGTCAGTGAAATCATCACTTGCCAGCAATTGTTTATTTCACACTGTAGTAATGGGAAATCTGGGTATTCAGATATGTGGACAATGTAAAAAATTTCACTTAAGATATCACTCGATATAGGAAAAAATGGAAAAAGAAAGAAGAGTGCAAACATAGCTACAAAAAATCATATGTTCTATTAAAGTATATTTACTAAAAATTGTTTTATGTTTTTGACATACATTACTACAACAGTTTTTACTTGCATTAGAACATAATAGTTCTGTGCTTAACACAGATCTTTTCATCTTCTCTGTCATCTCCCTTTCCTCTGGCATTGCCTGTGCAGTATCAGAATATGCAGTGAGGAGCAAGAGGCAGCCACCCTAACGATGTACACTACAAGCTGTGTGGCCAGACATATGGGCAGAGGAAAGGCTTAGGGCAAACTCTGCACTGGGAACCACCAGGAAGCAAACAGTGTCTGGGCTTATCTCCAGTATGAATACAGAGATCTGGAAACTGACCCTGAGATTAGGTCAGATGGTTAAGCTGGTTAGAGAGCAGTACTAATAACACCAGAGTTCAGGGTTATATCCCGTGGGGGACATTCACTGAAGAGTTGGACTTGTTAATCCTTCTGGGTCCCTTCCAAACAAGAATATTCTGTGATTCTTTGAAATTGCTGACTCCTCTGGGTCAGAGACTGCAAGTGACCATGAGGAATGAGGTCCCCTCTGTGGCCAGCTGGATTGTCATATGTTCTGCAACAGGGTCCTTCTGTGTCAGGATGTCAGGTGGAAATTAGTTTGGAACCCACAGGATGCAGGACCTCTTGCCTCTGAGTAATTGTACCAAGCAAATTGCTCCTGAATCATCATACATTAGGTGACAGATCTTAGTCTGACACTCTAAGGCAGTAACAGTCTCACA